AACCATCAACTTGTCCTTTTTTTAGTACATCCGTATATCCACTAGGGACATAACTTTTTTTCATGAGCGATACCTAATCTGTAACTTGGAGTTTCTGCCGATACCAATATCAATCCGGTTGTTGCAGGTTGCCGGTGCTGAGGTGAAAGTGTCACTGTTTATGGCATGTGACGCTAAATTGAAAGTATTTGGGGTTAGATATGAGAACAGAGATATTGATCAGTATCAGTTCAAGCCATCGCTAACATCAACTGTTCAGTTAAAGTCCAAAAACATGGTGTTACATCAAACTGTGTTCTCAAACTGTGGTAGGCGTACCACCGGTGGTAGCTAGAGCGCTCTCTAGTGGTACGGGGGAAAATTCATATTTTCACATTTACATTTTTAATTTAATAAATTTGAAACATACCATACACAATGAATACAACATTTAAACATAAACATCTTTATAAACATCTCTCCTGTGGTGGAAGCTAACAGTGAAGGCCTACGCTGCTGTATTCTACTGTTGGTCATCATGGTGGGACTCAGAAAGATCAAGGTTTTCTCAGGTGGTACAGGAGTATAAAAAGTTTGAGAACCACTGATCTAATAATAATTTAAAATGGAGTCACTTAGTTCCGGTATGAATATTGAGTTTTTGTTGAAGGTACAGTACGTGACAACTGTTCACACCATGTCTATATGTGCAGTGATGCAACAAATGTGTGTAAAAAAAAGTAGCAAAGTTTTATAAGACACTTAATGTATGGGTAGCACAGTCTTATAAGACACTTAATGTATGGGTAGCATTTTATGTTAGCACCATTCTGCATTTACCTATAGAGAACTTCAGGGGCAATTAAAAAGAAGCACTGTCTGCACTCCACGCCGTTTCAAACTTTTTCCTTATTATTTCGGCTGATGGGATCGAGGCGTAGGCCCATGAATATCTAAGAAACCCAACCAACCATCAACTCATTAATGTTTCATACCAACACCTCTTCTTACCAAACGCCTCAGCTGTCATTAAATTAATTTCAAACCAGTTTGACTTCCACAGACATGCATTACCACACAGCATATGAGAAAACGGAAAGTCTAATCCTGCATTTAAACTCATTATTATCCTGTAGAAGTGGATGACAGAAATCATTAAAAGAGTTTCACGATTCAAGTTTTTTCATTCTTTGGTGGATCTTAGACACAGTTTCTGTCACTCCTCCCCTCCTGCCCCTCCCCCTTCATTCCTGCCCAAGAGCAGTTGTAAACTCAGGTGACACTACAGGACCAAGCTTCTGCACAGTGGTGAGATATGACCTCATTTCTGTCCTGGTCTACAGCAGTGGAGCCCAGATTAGGAACGCTCCTTTAATCTCTGTCATGAGTTTGTCATGACGTACAACTTGAAAAAAAGTCCATAGTCATTGGTTTTCTTTTTCTTTTTTCTTTTTTCTTTTTTTTTAAATCAGAATTGTGTTGTTCATGCCGACGCTGCATCAGATTCTGATTGGGTTGCTTTACGTTTCTCATCAGCAACAGAGCTTTTTAGTAAGCAGTGCTTTTTCAACCAGCCTCTTAGTCTTTATTGGTACCAACGTACTTACTCTGTCTTCAGCAGTATTTAATAGCTGTACATTATTAAATTAAAAATATGCCAGAGGCATTCCTTCCTTTTGGGACGTTGCTTTTTTAGTTCATTGCTGATTAAAAGTGATGAGAACGTGCATAGAGATGCCAAGGCCAAACATGAGATTTTTTTTCTTTTTTTTTTTCGATCTTCCGCTTAAACACACAGTGTTGTTGTTTTTTTTATCCCATCCCATCTTTATGTGTGTTTATGTAAACTAACAAAACAAACCAACTTGCTTGGATCTTCCCTTTTATAAATCAAGTAGATAAAAATATGTTCCACGTTTATTATAGGCCTTGAGGATGAAGGGATTTATTTTTGTTTTGTCAAAGACTTTTTTTCTGGACAATGCTGCTCACAGAGACGCACACGCAGCAGTTTGTCCTCCGCTTGATTAAGTTAGTCCTGAAAAGTGCCATCAGTCTAGATATTACTTTAAAAAAAGAGGCCGGCTCAGTCTAATGAGAACTTACTGTTTACAGTATAGGCTGCACTGTGTAGTATTTACAGTATTTGTCTGTGCGTACGTGCGTGTGTGCGTCCACTCTCAGGATTAAATTACTGTTTTTCAGACAAATGAGGAGTGACTTAAAGTTAACTTTTTTTTGTCATGCAAGAAAGCTGTTCTGGCAGGAAATATTTCAAATATGTGCCAGTGTATTTTAGCCTTTCGAATTAAAACGCCATGGTTTGAAATTTCACTTTATTTATTTATTAAATAATAAATCAAGTGAAATTTAATCTAAAGACAAACTCTACATGACCTTTGTACAGTGGTTTATGCATTGATTACTGGAGTCGTCTTATTTGTATGTGTCTCCGTGACCTTTCAACCCTGTCGTGACCAGTAGTTTTTACACGGTGATTAAACCCTGGCCCTAATGAAGCCGAACAACATCATTATTGATTAAGGTTCCTCCACAGACTCAGGTTCAGGTCAGCTCTTCAGCAGGTGGACAAAGCACTGCCTTGTTTATGTTGTCTTTTATTTAGAGCGTCTTAACAGCAGCCGTTGCATTGTCTCAACAAGACGGATTTATTCAACCTCTGGCTCCGTGCCACGTTTTGTTGACATTTTTTTCCCTCTCGTGCGGTGACATCCATTCACAACTGACTGTGACACCAGTTCACAGTTTTTGCCAAATCTCCCAGAAGTCCACAGACTCTGTCAGGTCTGTCAGGAGATGCATTTTTATCACATCTCAGTTTTCTCAAATGACCGACTTCAGCTTCACCGACGTCGACGGAAGAATGTGCTAAAGTGAGAATGGGTTCTTGGTAATGTGTGAAACGGTCTTTTATGGTTCAAAATGAGTCGTGAAGAACGATAACATAAAACCTGCACCAGAGGAGATCTGGGAGACGGAGGGAAGGCTGCGGTTTGACAGCTCTGGATCCTGCTGACGTCTCAATCCCGTGTCCCGTGAGCTATTTACAGATAATCCTAAACGAGAGCGACATGAAACAAATGACGGCCTGATCCATCTCTGTTATCGATTTACAGCCTCAGTGATAGTATTGCTTCGAGCTTGTCCTCAAACAGAATGAAACTCCAAGAAAAGATGAATAATCTAACCCCCATGATTTATTGATTGGCGGCGTTCCTTTACTGATGACTTTGTTCTGTGGCTTGTGATGGGAACAGAAGTTCTTTATTAAGAGTTAATGAGTGGTATAATTACAACGGGGAGCCCGGGGGGGGGTCTGACTCCAACTCAACTGTGAGTGTACAGTATTTTGAAGTGAATATTGTGAATATACAGTCGTTTCCATGGTGTAGCGGCTAGCACGCCTGCCTCGGAAACAGAGAGCAAAGAGTCCTGGGTTTGATTCCCAGAGGAACCACCAGAGGCGCTTGCGAGGGGCAGCCTGTTAACAGCATATCTGCTGCTAAGACAAGAATTTCCCAGATATGGGATCAAATTTATTTCATTGATTTTAGTTTTAAATACAGTAACTACACTGCACTGGTTTATATATTCAATTTTCTGTCTGTGGATGGATGAATTGATGGATGAATTGATGGATGAATTGATGGATGAATTGATGGATGAATTGATGGATGAATGGCAATTTTCTCGACATTTAGTTGCAAATTTAACTGTGCCTCCTGACGTTGCTTTATATTCAAAACATTTTGTTACTTGTTCTTCACTCATGAGTAAAGTGAATTATACATTTCCTGGTGTTTATCCTGGTAAATACAAATATCTCTGAACTCATGAAACATGTGACAGAAATTATACACTGTTAACAAGTCATTGTACTTTTTAATCACTTTTTTAAACTTGATATGACGTGCAACGATTGCCTTGCTCATCCTGGAGCTGACAGGACGCGACCATATACAGTAGTCGAACTTGTCACTCAGAGAGAATCGGGCGGCTGTGTCCAATAATTATATATATTTTTTCAGATCGTAATGTGAGCTAACATACGGAAAGACTGAAAATAACTTTTAAGAATAAAACCATGGTCTGTGTGTGTTGACATCAGGGAGATGGTGTCAACCAATATATTTGTATAAACAGAATTCTATGTACTCTCTTTTTTTTTTTTGGAAACCTTTCTGAATAGTCTTTTGTGTGTCTGTGAAATGAAGACTAAAGAGAGTGAATCCATTGTTTTGACTGCACTGTGTACTGTATGTAGTGACAGAGACCACGCCTGTTCTCCCGGGTTATCAAAGCTGATGTTGCAGTAAGTGTTTGACGAGCGCTTCAGCTTTAGCTTCCCGCTGTTTTTAGCATTTAGGCAGCACGTTTCGTCGAATGGAGGGGTTCGGGGGGGGTCGCTGAGTTTGTCCGCGTGGCCTCATGCTGCTCTCGGTGCAGACCTTATTAACAGAGTATTGGGCTCCAGTGTGACTCCATCAGGGAAATCGAGGCAACCTAGAACCAGGACCGTATTACTATGCTAATCAAGTCAGTTCTCTGCTAAATGATTAGCAGTTCCGCAGATTTTGTCCTTGCCTTTCTTGTAAAGACAAATAAATGAAATGCTCTCTCTGTGTGAGTGTGTGGATAGACACACACTTTTATACATTTAATTTTAATTTCTTCTTGCTAGCAATTAGCCTGTAGCCTCCAAACTGTTGTGTATGTTGTTAACGACCACCACAGAAACATTATCGACCATTTATCTATTTTTGTTAAGCATTGCATTAGTAAACAGGTTGTTGTTTGTTTGGTTATTTCTTTCATGTCTCTTTAATACTCAATATTGATTTTATTTCATTTTTTCGGATTACTCGATATTGATTTTATTTCATTTTTTCGGATTGATTTAATGACTGAATGATTTTGTTTTACACTCCATGGTGTTTTTGTTGAACATTCCACACACACCCAGAGTCATATTCCTAACGGTGACGTTTCTGACGTTTCAGTGCTCAGCGGCCTCTGCGTCAACAACTGCCCCGAGGATGTGAACGTAAGTAATCCTTAGATTTTATATTTAAACTGCTTTCAAAAATAACTGTGACGTCTTGTTGTGAACCCACTGTTCTTCTGCCACGAGAGCAGAAAACTCCACAAAACAGAACAAATGCGACAGTAAAGTATAGTTTGTGTACTCAGATATAAGCCTAAACATAGGCTGAATTGGTGCTTTCTTAACTGAACTGGAGATTAGTGGACAAACTGTTGAGTAAAGGAGCCACCGTTTAAATGCACCTGAACGCTTTAGTGCTACCAGCGCTGTAATTGAAGATTTTTTTTTTATAACCCACAGCCTCAGTTTATCGTTTGACGTACCGTAAGTGCCAAACTATAGTGCACAATAAAATGAGTTCTGCTCTGTGAGATAATGGCTCCAACTACACATACAGTACAGTACAGTACAGTACAGTACAGTACAGTACAGTACAGTACAGTACAGTACAGTGAAGCAACCAGGGTGATTCAAATTCAAACAACTATACAGAGGTTTTCCCAGTTTGCATTTATCTGAGAGGTTTAGTGGGTGTCAAGACTGCTAAGAAAAAGGGGGGCGGGGTAATGTTTCTGGGATTTACTGCTACAGCCACCTAGTTTTACAGTTGGTACTGCAGTGTTACCACAGAACTGTACAGATTTTACAGTTAAAGAATACAATGACACTATGGTGTTCTGCTAGCAGTCTGGAATTTTAGTGCAACTTCAAAAAAAATTCAACCTCAGGTTCCACAAAATCTTGACAGGTTATTGATAGGTTCTACTGTCTGCTAAAAATATTGGTCTTTTGGATGTGTGAGGGGTGAAAAAAAAAAAAAAAAAACAGCCACATTTTTACACAAACAAACATCACAAAAACAGAGGAGCCACAGGTTGCAGACCCCTGGCCCAGCCCAGACCCAGAAGGCTTTCACATGTGACATTTGTGCAGCTTACCTTCAATTTTTAATGTGGTAGGGAATGCATAAATAATATATATTTTATTATAGAGTCATATTTCATCTGTTTGCACATTTTTTAGTCTCTGGTTTTAATCTCCGCTGCTGTGCTGCAGGAAAAAAAAAAAACCCTCAAATATTTAAAGGTTAAAAACGGCTTCAGCTTCTGTGTGGCTGAAGGTGTAGAGCACGTTTCTGTTAAACATAGCGATCGTTTTGTTAAGCATCCAGCTTTAAGCTCCTTTGTTGAAATCCCAAAGAGCTGATGCTGGATGTGCCTGTGTAGGTGGATGAAAGGACGGAACCGAAACACGGAGCACAGAGGTTCTTTACCTTCCACTGCCTCTCGTCAGTGAAAACCCTCTGTGTGAAAGACATTGGCTTTGACATCAGCTAGAGGCTGCTGGTGCTACAGTTGTCTTGGTTAACCCTCTGCCCCCCCTACCCGACCCCCCCACCTACATGTTGTCTCACTGAGAGGTTTGATAAATGCAGGAGATGAATGCAGCTCGTCTCCCGTCACCATCCATCAGCCCTGTCGTATGCCCCCCCCACCCCCCATCTATCTGTTTTTTGACCTTATTTCTACTCTCTCGTTCTCTCCTGACTCGTCAGTGCGGCGGTGCTCAGTCACAGTGTGCATGTTTGCATGAATGTCAGTGTCATGATGAGCCCGTGAGAAGTAAAGCGCAGCTCCAGCGACGTTTTCATTAGTGCTCATTCGTTTGTAATGAAGAGATAAGACAGCCTCTGTGTGTCTGCCTCACAGACGGGGCAAACACACAGCAGTCGCACTCATTTATGCGCCGTCAGAACGGAGACAGCTAAAGTCACTGTCAATGTCAGTCGACCGGCGCCTTCAGCTGACAATATATGGTTTTAAAAAAGAAAATAAAAGCTAATGGCAGAAAAATTATAATAAAAAACTCAGTGTGCTCTGCCTCTCAGTTCCTTCCTATAGTTTCTAACAGATATTATGGGGTGTAGAAAAAAGGAAGCAGAGAAATGAAATGCTATAAAATGAAGAACGCGTCTTCGCGCCACAGACCCGCTGTTAATCAAATTAAAAGTAGTAAAGTTTAAGGATCTGGCTGCAAAACTTTTTCAACTTGTCAAGTCTAGTGGGGGGCAAGATAAAATTATCCTCTGAACTGTCATTTCCATTTGTCTTCTCTTCTAACAAAGTAAAATAAGGTTCGTAAACGGTTTGCTGCAATGACGTAGTTTTTGTTTATCGTTTATTGACATTCTTTCTTTTTTTTCTTTCAGCCATTTGGCGTTAACCAACCAGGTCCTTATGTCATGTACACCACAGTGGACTCCAATGGTTACGTGAAGAAAGCCTCAGGTAAGTCATTTAATATGTTTTATTGGCAGCTTCCATTTATTTTCTTTCTTGTGTGTTTGAAAAAAAAAAAAAAAAGTCTCTTGCTCAAATTTAATAATTCTTTTTTTCATCTGTGTAAAAATGATTTGGCCTCAATGACACTCCAAAGACATCTGTCCCTCTTCTAACTAAAGTGCACTGTGTCTTTTTTTTATTATTTTGTTTTTGAGAAAGGCTACAAAGAGAAGGAGGGGGACATATTGATTGTGTTTGCTTGGTTTTTTTATTGAGTGAAAAAGTCTTCATGCCTCAAAGACAAAAGCTGGAGCATAAAGGACAGCTTGAGAACAGACAAAAACACAGTTCTTCCTCAAATTACTGCAGCTCAGAGAAGAATCCGTTTGATAGGATTCTTGTCCCGATGCTCATGCAGAGTCAAATGTTGACTCTTATACTGGACTAGATCAGGGCTCATCTGTATTTTTAAATTAGTAACTTACATATTCTTCAGGTCACATCAGAGCTTTTATATAAAGAAGAAAATAATTTAAGCAAATTGTCTGTGGTCACTTCCCCAGTTAGAGACTTTATTGATCAGAAATTCAAAGTTCTTATTGATATTTCTGTTCTTTGCAGCAGACAAATAGCATTTTTTAATTTTTTTTTCTATTTACTTTTAGTTGACAGGACATCAGAGACCTCTGTAGAAACCTTATAATTTCTCCTGTTTACCATGAAAGCTGCTTATTACTTTGACTTAAACATGGCATGTAATTATTGTGTCTGTGTTTCTGTGTCTGTCGTTGGTAATACATTTGTTCTTTAGCTGCTGGAGCACTTACTGAACACACACCGAGTCACTGTCCTGGTGACTCAGCCAGTAAAAGTAATAAATACGGAGTGTATGGAGTTGTGCCCGTTTGTGTATTGGGTGTTTTGCGGAGTCACTGATTGGGGAGGAAAGACGAGCGAGTGGGCGAGTGATTTAGTTAGAGAGAAGAACAGTGTGGCAGAACCACTGATCAGTGAGGGGTTAAAGCTGAGGGCAGTATTTAAAATGAGAATGTCAAACTGTTGGATTACAATCCCCAGGGATTTTGTTCTACAGCAAAGTATTAACACCAAGTCAGGCTTTTCTGAAGAAGAAAAACCAGTGAAATAACTATGTTTATTGCTCTTTTGGTTAAAATAATTACTATTTTTTTCATAATATTTCTCACCTTAAACCATTTAAAACTGAGCTCATATTACACTAATGCTGCACCAGAAGCTGTAAATTTTAAATTTTGCATTTCAGTAATATTTCCAGAACAAACTGAAGAGTTTACACGTCATTTATGTCACTTGGAAAGTAAATCTTTACATTCTCTACATTATGTGGCTGTCGCTCGGCCTTGCCAGAAGAAGAGACAATTGAATTTGTTGTACAGTAAAAAGAAATTGTGGAGGAATAAAAAAAAAGTATACATGCCGACTTGGCAAAGCAGTGCGTTTTAAATCCCAACCCTCTAATGCCTCACAGCAGAAACTCCAACCTTCTTATTCTGTTGATCGGCCGCGGCTCAGCCAGCTGCAGGACGCAAGTCAATAGCTCGATGTAATCCCCTGTATTAGTGTGATACTCTGCTCTTTCTTACTTGGTAATCCATAATATCTACTTATCCGTCGTCCACAGATAATCTGCATTTTTGTTTCTTGGCAAAAACAAATGTCGCAGACACGTGTCCTGCAGATCCAGATCCAGAAATTCAAACAGTTTCCTGCAACATTACACAGAGAGTTCACATCCTCATGTGAAAACTCTCCCATCTTGAAAATGTTCTTCAGATGCTGAGTCAGCTCTCGTGGCTGTGTCTTCTCCTCCACTTGGCCTGGAACGATAGAGATACAAAATGAACGCGTAGACGGAGATGAACCAGAGGATGTGTTGTGTTGTGTTGTGTTGCGTTTGCTCTAGTTAACCTAGTAAATGTTGCATTGTGGGAAGGACAGATGAGGACAAGATGCAGTGACAGCCCGAGGTCAGTGATATATTTAGTCTGTGTGTGTGTGTGTGCATGAGCGTTTCTCCACTTCCTAATCCTGCTCGGTCAGATACATTGTTTAATGTGTTTGCGAGCACAGTGGGAGTATATGCTTACTTAAAGGAACAGCAGTTACTGTTTGATATCATTATTATTTTACTACCATTAAACAGCATTAGAGCCGCGGCTGTAAAAACTGTGCTGAATATCCTGCTGTTACAACTGCAAAAACCCTCGGTGCAGTTCTACGTGTCCAGGCCTGAAAGCAAGAATTAAATTATATATAAAAAAAAAAAAAGTTTTGTTCTTCACATTTTCACCTTGTGTTAAGTCACAGTTGAACAGTTGAAAGACTGAGAGAGGATATTGTAAAGAGCACAGAGGAGAAGGAGGACGAGGAGGAGGAGGAGGAGGGTCACTGAATGCACCTTCACCCACTGAACTGGAGCGTGAACACACTGAAAGTTAACATTTTGTAAGATTAACTTTAAAAAAAAAAAAAATTGAACAGAACTGGATATACATTTTGTCTGTATTTTTTTTAAATTATTTATATCCTCTCAGTCTAGATGTTAAAGGGCAAACATTCATGACACTGTAACTGAAACCCAAAAGAAACCACACAAAATAGACCTTAAGTTTTACGTAATTTCTACACTTCTTGGATGGATGTCCATGTCCTAAAATGTTTGTTTTTTTTTTTTTTACCACATTTGGTAGTTGATAGCTGTGTCAACACAAAAGCAGGACAGCAGCAGCTAAAATTGTACAGGTTATACCCTGTTTTTGTGAGGTCGACCAGTGTTGGCTGGAACCAGGTGACGGCTCTGTTTATGTCGGGGGGGAAGGGGGGGGCGATATGGGTGGTTGGGGCCTTGGGTTTGGGCCTTTGGTGTCAAAGTAATGAACAGATTATTTTGTTTTTTGTGGTTTATTTATTTTACCAAAGTACCTTGGTTTAGTTAATTGAACACAATATTACCCACAAACCCCCTTGCTTTGAATCCAACTGTTGCGTTTGACAGCTAATACCACGTTAATGGAAAAGCTTTTTACTGGATTTACTCAGACGCCTTCATTTACATTTTTAAGTGACGTTCATTAGTCACAACTCGATCTGTTTTTAAATTAAAATATACTGAAATACTACAGTGATCCTGTGACTTTGTGGTATTTTCCACTGCCGTGTGTGTATGAGTGGAGCGATCAGTGAAAAAGAAGGCAGTGAGAGAGTAGCCAAAGGCGTCAGTGGCACAACTCCCTAGACCCCTCATTTAACAGCTGCAAAGTGCTGTCTTCTGAGTGTGTGTGTGTGTGTGTGTGCGCGGGGACGGACACCCGTGTTTGTGTGTGTGTGATGGTCTTAAGTGTATTTATTCTTTAGCTCGTAGCTGGAGGAAACTGCCACCAAGGCTGCCAGAGATGAGCAATGATGTGGTGCACGCAACACAAGCACTCATCTGCACAAACACACACACACACACACACACACACAAACTATGCACACAAAGTCTGAGCCATTCCACTGGGGCCGAGCGCTCTTCACTTACCCTT